TTGCTTATCTTGCTTGTCTCACCAACTTAATTCTTTGACTTCCTTTATTAGAACTGAATTTAATTTTGCCGCCGATCGTGGCACATCATCTGTTCATCACGCATACCAAAAAAGTACAACTTTTAAAGATCCTTTCACGTCTCATGCAGATGGGTTACCATCCCCACCCTTCTTCTTTGAATGCTCCTCAAGTGAAGAACGAACCCATCCCTGTAAAAATGCCAACTGGAACGATAAGGAACATAGAATCTTTGTGGCTGCATGTGAAACCTTAATAGCAGAAGGTTACTATTAAGGAAAGTGCATTATCTGTTCCTTATTGTTCATTTAAATAATCCACTTTCCCTAACAGTGACCTTAGGCTGTCACGATTTCACATGCTGCTATAAAGATCGTATGTTCCTCATCATTCCATTTGGCATTTTTATAGGGGATGTGTTCATTTTGCACTTGAAAAGTATTCGAAGAGGAGGATTGGGGATGGTAACCATTTGCGTGAGATATGAAAGGTTCTTTAAAATTTGTGCTTTTATGGTGTACGTGACAAGGAGATGGTGTGCTTCAATCGAAGGCAAAATTAAATCCAGTTCTAATAAAGGGAGTGAAAAAATTAAGTCAGCAGGACAAGCAACATGGACAAATGTAATGGAGTAGTATAATGGATTCATGGGGTTGAAGATAGATGAGCTGGCAACACAAATAGCTCACGATGGGGAATCAAAAAGTGTTTACTTCGAAGCTATCCATTTCTGAAATCTGCAATTTGTTGGTTGTAATAGGGGTTTCGCGGGCTGCGATTTTCCACTTGCAAAAACTTGTGGGCTGGAAAAGAAGGCGAAGGCGTGAGATTGTGCGCCAATGTTGGTCCGAGGATTCCAAATCGGTACACAATTGGAGAAGTAAGGAAAGAGGTAGGTGAAATGGAATTCATTGATTTATAAAAGGGCAAAATTGTCAATGCAAAATCAAAATGATTAAATGGTACAATTACAAGTAGAGTTTTTCCATTTGTACAGAAGTTTTTCTTACAGAACTCTATCATAATAGAGATATGTGTGTGGGCCCCATGATGTATAAAAAATGTCAAAAATGTGGGTGGGCCCAGAAACTGTGAGATTTCTGTAAGCATTCTGTGACTTTATCTTCTGTAAATGTAGAAGAGTTCAAGTAAGTATGAATCATGTCAGATAAAATACAATAAGCCCTGTTTGGTTTTGATTTCTCACCCAAAAAAAAATCAATTTTTTGATCGTTACTTTCCTAAGTTAGCCATCATTTTTTACTTTTTCACTCACAAGTGTGACCAACTTTTCTCTCCAACAATAAAAAATTAACTTTCAAAATCATTACCGATCAGGCCCTAAATAAATGAGATTGATCAGCGTTCAAATTTTTGCTTAAAATTAGAAAAAAAAATTGTGCCCAGACAGGGACATAATTTAGCCCCCGTTTGAGCCCCATTATTCCTAAATTATAATGAGATGAATAGTATGTTTTTGAAAAATGAGTGGTTGAAAAGTTTTTGATTTACGTGTAATATTATTTTATAGAAAATTGTGTGGTTAAAAGTAGGAGAGAGAAAAATTTAATTTAATGTAATGAGGAATAATGTCGGCGAAACACATGCTTATTCACATGGTATTCTCATTTCTGTCACTAGAACCAACTAATAAAACAAAAGAGTACAAACAAATGGAAAACGATCCTATCATGTCCCGTTTACCACCGAAGATTGGATAGTGCTTAACACCAAACACAGTAAATTGGAAGATGAACAGAAAAGTGCTTAACAGAACAAACATACATTGGAAAACAGCACTGAATTAGAAGATAAATACCTGAATGAGAAGATAGCTCTTGCCATCAAATCCATTCTTGATGACTTTGAATGTCTGGCCATAGTATATGCGAAAATAAGCAGCATCTTCCACCTGTGAAATGTTCCCAACTTTAACTGCTGGAGTAGCAGCATTTACAACTACTTCATCACTACCTAATGTGTATAAAAACAAGATAATAATCAAGAAAAATTGGAGAGAAAATCTTGAAAGAACCAAAGAACTCAATAATGGTGAAGACATATCAAAAACTGAAAAAAACAACAAATCCACTCTCTAAATTCTCTTTTAAAGGGCCAGATTGCAGCTTTTGGGATGGAAAGACAAGATCTCACGGGACCATAGTGGTTTCTACAGTTGAATTGGTGAGTGAATTATCAGATATCAGATCATTGTTGGCTTCTGTGAAATGGCTGTTTGATAGTGGTTCATCTATTACTGACCCGTGAATCCAATTTGCCTTATTTCTGTCGTCTTCCTTTCATCATTTTTCTCTTTGTTTTAGCTTTTTTTATATTTTCCTATTACAGTATCTCCATGTGGTATGCACTAAAATGGCTTGCCTATTTTAAGAACTGAAAATTTTCATTTCTTAACCCATTACTCTTGGTCTAGGAAGCACGGAGACAAACCTGATCAACATGTGAGCCAACACGTTACGATTCATCCATATGTGATTTTATACTTCTTAATATCTACATGACACGTAACATATCGGGCTTACCCAACTTATGTTCTTAAAGTATCCATCGAAAGTCGAAAATTTGAAACACATTATATTAATAAAAATATGGCATGTGACTTATCAAGCGCACTGTAGAGAGTCCGAAGAGTGTAGGATATGAACATGCTGCCTTAATAAAAATGTCCGAATTTCATAACTATTTGTTCACGTGGAACAGATATGATTGATTATATTCATATTATTTTCTCTTTATGCTGTCGCAAGTGAACAAAAAGAAAGGCAAAAAGTTTGGTTTCAGCATGTTGAGTCCACCTTTACGGTTTATGTAGCTGGATGTTCACACCCACAACAGTACGTGTCCAAATAAAATAGTTGGAATCAATGTAACAACTACCCTTTTGAATGTGTATTGTTTTTGTGGGAAATTTGCACTTTTTATCTTCAATCTTTGTAATTTATAACAAATTTCCGTCAACTTTCTTTTAACATTAGACATTCTCAACATTTCACTTATTTGCAAGTTACGTCCTTGTTGATAGATTCCATCCAATTTGACTATTAAGGTTGTGTAAAAGACAACTTAACCCTTCACTTTAAATACACCAAAATAATAATAATAATAATTTTAAAAAAATTCACATAAAACCCCTAGAATTGGATAATAACAAAAAGACCAATCCAGTCTTGAAACCCATTCATCTTGTTCCCTCAACCACAAGCCCTGTTCGTTTAAAATGTGTATGCCACAAGCACACAAATCGCATACAAATAATAAAGTGCGATAACAAATTCTAATTATTGATCCCACGATGAATGATTACTCAATTACACAATAGTTACATTCAATTCTAACAATGAAACACACAATAAAATTTGAATTTTGAAAAAGAACAAATCTAAAAATTAAAGAAAGTTGGGAAGACAAAGTAGTTGATATTCATGATTTCATTTATTTATCGCCTAATTAAATTTTCAATAAACCATGAAAGGGCGGTGATTCAACACCCTTCTGTTTGCCCGGTAATATTTGGCGTTTCCACCACTCCGTCAACTATGCAAGACCTGAAAAATGAAGGCGGGGCTTTCTCCCCCGTTTTACTTCCGGCGTGAGAATTAGTTTTCAGACTTGGAAAGAATATATTTGAAATTCAGATGGCTAAAACGAGAATGGGAGCCCGAAAAAATTCCTTACCTGTGTCACATCCGGGGGTATTTATAGATATCTGGCACTAGGTAACCGCTGAGCGGTTGTGGTGCCACGTGTCCCACGATGGTATTCCCACTACACCCACGTTCTGAGTGATGAGTCCTTAACTTCACGTCTGAAGATTGTACCTGTATCAGCGGCCATGTAACCTTGTCAATTCATTAAAGGTTTTATGGCTAAGTGTTTGGACAAGGAATATCATTCCCGTTGAAGGTTTCGCTTAGTGGTAGAATAATTTCTAGGGATAGCGGTAGAACGCCCTTTGGGGGTTGTGGTAGAGCGCTTCCTGGACGTAGTGGTAGAGCGCTCCCTAGGTAGTGGTAGAACGCCCTATGGGGGTCGATGGCCTTGCATCGGTGTGCTGTGATCTGCCTTGCTTGTCCTTGAGGGTGGCTACTTCTATCAACCTATATCATTAGCCCCTCTACCCCTTGTCGATGTTTTCGGCAAGGGGTAGCAATTTAAGGTTGGTTTGAAATTTTTTTTTTTTAATAAAGAGAAAGGAATAGTTCGTATTAGCAAATCGAACTATATAAACACGATCGAGTGGCAATTCTACTGTACACATGGATCCTCACCAATGGTTTTAATATTGGAGAGAGATTTCCCTCCAATTCCCCCCCAAAAAATTTGAATTCTAGTGGTATAAAAGGGGGGTAATTCTCATTCTAGAAAATCACTTTCATTTTCTCTCAACATCCTAGGCTTCCTCTCTTCTAAGGTAATTTCCTCTCCTTTTTTAAATCTAAGGTCTTGCTTTAAATTTCTTCTCTTCATCATCTTTGTTGTCATGTATAAAATTATTCTTTCTTCTCCTTCCAATGAAAAAAGTGATGGGGGTGTAGTGATTCGACCGGACCTTCGTCGGAGGGTGCCGGAGGGAGTCCGACCGACCCACGGGGGGGTCGGTCGTCGACCAGCCCTGCTGGTCGACGGGCGTCGACCAGCCAAGGGGCTGGTCGTTCGGGCTGGCCGTCCCCCACCACCCATTAAGTCCCGTGGCTTGTCCGATCCTTCGATCCGCCCTTGTAGTGACTCGTCCCCTTCATCTGGCAGATCCCTTTATGATATTGATAGTGAAACTCATTCAATTGATTCTTAGCCGTTTGTTCCAAATCTCCCAAAGAGACACATTGGTTCTTCTAAATCTCCAAGCCAAAATTTGGAAATCGGGCGTGACCCGGCCGGTGAGGTTGTCCCCCTAGATATCCCAAAAAGTTATAGTCTCTACAATTCGCCACTTAAGTTGGAAAAATGTCTAGGAAAGTATGACCGGGTTGATGATTACGTCTATAGAGCCCCTGGTCCTAAAGAAAGGCTCCCCAGGTCCGAACCCCGTGAGATAGCCGTGTACAAGGATGTTATGGACGGGGGTTTTCGGTTCCCCATTCATCCCTTTTTTGTGTCGATTTTCAACGAGTTCCACCTTACTCCTAGTCAAATTAATCCTAATGCATGGAGAAAAGCGTTATATTTTCTGTATGTCTGTCTCAAAAAGGGAATTTCACCTTCCATGGATCTTTTCAGGTGTGTCTTCGAAATGCATGAGCTAGTTCAATGTAATGCCTTTGTCTATTTTACCACTAGGGTACCTATGCAATTCCCTAAGTTTAGGAATTTGAATAGCGGATGGAAGTCCCGATTTTTCTTCGTCCGGCCTTCAAAGGGTCAGTTTTCTTTTAACACAAACTGGCGACACCCCCAAATTCATCTCTTCAATAGCCAAGTAGAAATTACTCCCTTTCTAGAAGCTCAAATCCAGGACTTGGTTGATGTACCGCCTTTTGCACCTGACTTAGGGTCAGTCCTAACCATGAAGAACATGTTGAAAGTGGGGATGAGTCGAATTCCTAAACTTAAGGAATTGCATAGGTACCCTAGTGGTAAAATAGACAAAGGCATTACATTGAACTAGCTCATGCATTTCGAAGACACACCTAAAAAGATCCATGGAAGGTGAAATTCTCTTTTTGAGATAGACATACAGAAAATATAACGATTTTCTCCATGCATTAGGATTAATTTGACTAGGAGTAAGGTGGAACTCGTTGAAAATTAACACAAAAAAGGGATGAATGGGGAACCGAAAACCCCCGTCCATAACATCCTTGTACACGGCTATCTCACGGGGGTCGGACTCGGCGAGCCTTTCTTTAGGACCAAAACGAGAATGGGAGCTCGAAAAAATTCCTTACCTGTGTCACATCCGGGGGTATTTATAGATATCTGGCACTAGGTAACCGCTGGGCGGTTGTGGTGCCACGTGTCCCACGATGGTATTCCTACTACACCCACGTTCTGAGTGATGAGTCCTTAACTTTCCGTCTGAAGATTGTACCTGTATCAGCGGCCATGTAACCTTGTCAATTCATTAAAGGTTTTATGGCTAAGTGTTTGGACAAGGAATATCATTCCCGTTGAGGGTTTCGCTTAGTGGTAGAATGATTTCTAGGGATAGCGGTAGAGCGCCCTTTGGGGGTTGTGGTAGAGCGCTCCCTGGACGTAGTGGTAGAGCGCTCCCTGGGTGTAGTGGTAAAACGCCCTATGGGGGTCGATGGCCTTGCATCGGTGTACTGTGATCTGCCTTGCTTGTCCTTGAGGGTGGCTACTTCTACCAACCTATATCAAACCAAAAAGCAAATTACTCAATTACTATGTTAGAATTGATTTTCCTATCTTAAGTAATTAACTCTCCGAGTGAAATTAGTACTAATCGATTGGTTTAACCTGCTATATCTCTATGTAGATTAAAACTCAATACATCACATTTTTTCTGTATAAATAATTCAATGGCCACCTAGGGATAGAAATATATCTACATCTCTTATAATAACCTAGAGTATTTACTATTTGATCTAAAATGCACAATATTCTCTCAAATATTGCACAAATCACTAACACAATCATTTAATGACCAAATAAATGAAAAACATTAAATGCAATAGTTTATACGCATTAAAATAAGTTTTTTAACATTAAAGAGCAAATATTAAAATTAATCAAACTAAGTTATGCTACATCAATCATCCCAACAAAAAAAAAAAAAAAAAAAAAAAAGCTTAGCTCATTGTGTATAAATGATAAAAAGGGGAAGAATTAGAAAAATACATTATAAGTTAGAGAAAATAATGGATAAAATAAAAGACAAAAATTTAGAACTTGTTCCTTGGTTAGATTCTTGAAATCTCTCACTTTCTTTTTATTTTTTCTTTTCCTCTTGCCTCAAGATCTAAGGTCGTGAAAAATCCTTTCTATAGAAGGCGGACTCATATCCCCAAGTCGATCATAGGCAAATTCATTAAATGATCAGTTCTCAATGTTGCGACTTCATCTCACACTGGTCATGACTGTTGGGTTTTTAATATTCAATAAATCCCGGACTATGATATTAACTTGGGTTAATATATTTCATAGGTATAAGCTGATAAATAAAATATGTCCAACAACCAAGTTCATGAACTCCACTCGGTCCAATTGTAATCCCTATTGGAGGGCTTGAATCTTGGCATGTTTACTTTTTTTTTTGGTCCAATTAAAAGCCTAACTCTAGACTATTTAGAAGACTACAACCCTAGCTATTTTGTAGGGTGGTTTTGTTAGAACAAAAAGAGAAACTTGGCTACCCTTGAAGTGTGTGAAAAACAGACCATTTGAAGTGTCAAAATTCATTGATTACTTTATGTAATTGTTGGTTCCTTCACATCCTACCTTTGTGGTGATTTCTCCTTGCCTTTGTGACCACAAATCATCATCGTTTTTTGTCCATTGTGGGTAAGATTGAATAGCAACCAAGGTAAATTATATTGGTTGTGGATCGGAACCGGTTAAATTGGTTGTTGGTAGAGAAATGTACGTTGGACTGAGTTCCGAAAACACTGATTTAAAGATCTTTAGAGAGAGCTTCTGCAACATTTGGTATCAGAGTTTCAAGGTGGTGGCTTTAACTTGTGAAATATACCAGAAAATTGAAAGAAATCGAATCGAAAAATTGTCAAAAAAACTGTCAAAATTAGCCTTTTTCGCATTTTTCGACCAATCCAGAAGGAGTTTGGGGAAATGGAGACCACTGGTGCAACGTGCAGGTGGTAGCAGACCAAGCTGTTTGGCGAGTGTGGTGGTTCGACGGCGCGTGGCGGCCACGCATTGAGAGAATGGAAGCACGTGTGGCTGTTTTTGGAGATCTCTTCAAGCAGTTTGTTCCTAACAATATTTCTAACATTTTGGTGGAGTTGGTTTTTCGCTTCAGGTTGTGCAGTAGAATTTGGACAAAATTATTTTGGAATTTGGGATTCTATCGTGGTTTGTTGGTTACTACAGTTGCTAGAGGCTTTAAGACGAATAATGATGGTCCTAAAGTGATAAATCTGCGTCTCTCATAATTTACGGACTCAGGTTGGTCCGCTTTGATATATTGGCTTGTCTTAGTTTAAATTTTAGCATTAGCGCGCCATTGTGTGGGGGTAATATTAGGTTTGTGGTTGCTGTGAAGGGGTAATATTGCTTGTACTAGAAATTTAAGAGTTATTTGCCATATTTTGAAGTGTTGAGCTTTGATTGCAAGTTAGTAGTTGATTTTGTGCTTTAATTATCATATAGTCACTGTGTGAGACTATGTTTCATGAAAATTCAAACTTTTGATTACATACCTTCGTGTTGCATTGATTATCCTCTTAGAACACCCAGACTTCACCTGTTCGAACATTTTTATGATCTAAGATCGTGAATCTTACGAAATCTTGAGAATCTAAAATGGTGTATATTGTGGCCGTAAGATAACTGTGTTATCTATCTGTGCATTTAGTTGTCCCGTTTTCCTGAAAATGTCTTCACTTGAATTTGGAATATTTAATGGGAAATGAGATTTTTCAATTTGACAACAAAAGATGAAGGGTATTTTGATTCAACAAAAAGTTTCAAAAGCTATAGATGACAAATTTTCTATAAACTTAACAGAAGCACAAAAAAAAGAAGAGTATGATGAACTTGCGTACACTTCAATTATTTTACATCTGTCTAACTCTATTTTGAGAAAAGTTGGAAAACTCGATTCTACTAAAGAACTTCGGGAAAAATTAGAGGACTTATATTTGCTTAAGTTCACTCCTAATAAATTGTACTTGCTTGAAAGATTTTTAAATTTTAATAATGGATCCTTCAAATGATCTTGACGACAATCTGGATGTCTTTAACAAATTAGTTCAATACATTGTTAATTATGATGAAAAGGTCTCTGAAACATATAAGGATATTATCTTGTTTAATTTCATGCCCGATTCATATAGAGAGGTTAAGAATGCAATTAAGTATGGTAGGGACACCTTAACACTCGAGATTGTCATAAACTTGTTTAGGAGTAAGGAGATGGAAATTAAGACTGAAAACAAGATAAGAGGAGTGGTAAGTTACATATGATGAGAAGTATGATGAAATTTAAGCAAATGAATCTGGGTAGAACTCAAGACGATGGTGATTCGAGTAGTGACTCGAGTGATGAAGGTAGTAAGAAAATAGGCATGGGATGGGACAATTCTAATGGTAGACGGTGTTATAGCTGTGGTAAGTCTGTGCACTTTATTAGGGACTGTCCCAAAAACAAAGATAAGCTAAATGGTAAGATGAGAGGTGAGTCGAATTTGGCTTTAGGGTCGGGTGATGACCCTAACGAGATTTATTAAGAGTAAACTTAGTTATTGCATGTGCATCTTAGTGATGGCAATTTACCCTGCTCCGAAAGGGGCAAAAAAACCCACCCCATCGCGGGGGGCGGGGCGGGGATGCCCCTCCCCGAACCTGCCCCGTGGATTTTATGATTATTATTTTTTTGTTATACGTGGAAATATGAAGGCAGAAAATCTTGGTTCGCTTTCATTGGAGAATTTTACGTGGAAATATGAAGATCAAGTATCTTTTGTATCAATAAATATGAAAAATAAATTTTTCGTATATTTGAAACATATTTATATTTTCGAAACAAATAAAAATACTTACACGACAGAACAAATTTCTAATTATTTGTTCATCCAACCCTTAATTTATCGTAACTTTGTTACTAATTAGCTGATTGTTTATTAATTATTTGTTTACATAATTAATTATAACTATTATAACATATTTATAGTTCATCTATGCAACATATTGCAAAATCACTTTTTATTTAAACTTATTTTCTATCACAATTTTTTTAATAACATAATTTACATGTAGACCTATAATTTTTTCATACTTTTTATCCACACATTCTCTAAAAATCATTTGACACTATAAATAATTTTATCCCAAAACAAAAAAACTTAAATTTACATAAAGTAAGGGTATTCTTTATTAAAAGTTTAACTTGAATGTTATCTGTGTTTTATTGAACTCGGAATTAAAAAAAAAATTAAATAGGGCAAGAAAACTGCCCCGCCCCATCAAAATCGGGGCGGGATGTGGGGCGGGAGAGGCGGGGCCACGAATCAGCCCCGTTGCCATCACTAGTGCATCTATATGTAATCCTTTCTGTATGTGTGTGATTGCCTAATTTGTTGCATGATATGTTGCATTTCAATATGTTTGATATGTGTATTTGCATGAATTTGAGGCAATATGATTACTTTGTATAATTGTTTGCATGTATAGTGGATTAGGATGCATTAGCAGTATGTTTGATATCTTTTTGTGAGGTGAAGTTTAGATGTCTAGGGGTACATTGTAGTTTGTGCTGGGAATGTGGAGTGTAACATTTGGATCACGAGTGGAGATGTGATAAAATATCTAGAATACTTTATCTATAAAGAGACCCTGATCAAGTGGAGAGTGAGAGAGACACTTCTATCACTTCTATTAGGTGAAGACTCATTATCCATGTAGGTTAGGAAAAGTGATGCAGTGATAGAGATTATCCTTTAGACTTAAGATCTATTGTGATCTACTAAATATACATGAGTTGAGTGATTAATCTAGTGAGCATAGTTGGCGATGGGAGAAGATATGTGTTCTCGATGTATGAGTAATACGGAATGAGATAGGATAAGTGTGTTGAGATCTTTTCGTGATCATTTATGCATTTGTTGCATATGTGTTTGACCGTGTGTTTGATTAACTTGGTGTTAATCTGTGGTTTTGTATGAACGCGTTTCTGAAAAGATCTATATGCATTATCTTATATTATATCGTCATCGGGTTACACCAAAAATCACCTTTTGCAACGGTCAAAAAACGTTGCCTAAACAACGGTCTTTTTTTTTCTCAACCAGTAATTTATGCATATTGACATAACAAAATTGAAGATAAATCCTAATGAACAAATTTTGGAATTACATAAAATTAATAATTTCATTACAAAATTTTGAATCATACACTAAAATATTAAATGTGATACAACATTAAATAAGAAATTTCTTTGGATAAATTAATACACTCAAATTATCCATCAACCACAATCAGAGCAAGTGAAACGTTATTACATAGAATTAAATTAATGTACATCTTTTTATGCATATTGAGTCAGATTCTTATGTTGCTTTTATATTGATTGCACTTGATTGAATTTCTTCAAAATACGCTGTTCGTCCATACTTCACGGAGAAGTTGATACCTGACAGCATTTCGGCCTCCATTTTCTTTTGGCATCCAACTCGGCTTTGGTGAATGTGTGTTAATAATGATAGATGTCATAGGCGAATCTAATTCATCAAGCTCGTCATCACTCGTGTATGATTTCTTGAGAAATGATGACCCACTCCGTGTCAGGCTAGAATGGCTACCACTTTCTCCCAGGATACCAGCAACTGAAGCAACTGATGGTGGCTGGTAACTCGTCCGGGGTAAAAGAGCTGAGAATCCTTCTTATCAGTGATGGACCAAACATGGGACATAACTAGGAACACGGAAGAAATTATATAAATAAGGACTCGACTATAATATGCATAAAAGATAATGTAAAACAGTAGCATTCTAAGCCATGGCTAAACCTCTTTTTTGACTGTGCGACTTAATAGCATTCAAGTGTCCATAAATTTTGTTCAGAGAGAACGAACAATTTATAATTGGCTTTAGTCTTCCTCTTCTTGATAAATACAACATCAAAGACAAATTTCCTAGCAATCCAATGAACATCCCCTGTAGCCAATAATGATTGATTTAATATGTCAAATGCTGGTTGTGCTGAAATTAAGTTCTGATTAAACTAAGCAACTGTGAATTAAAGACTTAAGAGGATGGAGGATTAAACAATAACTTCAAGACAGAAAAATACAAAAGAGAAAGAGACTAGCCTTTGATGGACCTCAAAAAATGCCTCTCAGCACAACAAAAAATAGAGTTCATTAAATTTTGCAGCAAACTCACTTTGCTTAGGAATTAGGATGCTGAATATAAGCATTAATTCAAACATGTTTAGAAGTTTGTTTATAAGGGCTCCAAGTGCATGCCTTGCTTCTTCTAAGAAGCTGGCTTACTTCCACAGTATCACTATTGATACTGCCAAAATAAGTTATAAAGAAGTCCTTTATTATTTTTTTATTTTTTAGTTTTTTTTTTTTGGGCTTTTGACTTTTGGCTTCTTTTGTCTTCTAAGATCACCTAAGAGGTGTTGCATCAAACACGTTTCGCCATTTTAGAACAATTTCGTGAACATATAAAAACTTCCCATCTTTCTACAGACAAAATACAATAGATGTACAAGAAATTACATCTCTTTATTTAATTTTAAAACCACTCTACCAGGACAAAATATTGAAGTTCCCATTCGTTTGCTTGGATTTTCTTGAAAACTAATTAAATTAAACCTTTCAAAATTAAAACGCAATGTGGGAGGTGTCCAATTGCTTATAAACCCAAAATTAAAACGCAACAATATCTCTCAATTAAGGGGAGGTGTCCAATTGCTTATAAACCCAAAAGGCAGGCCTTTCAAGAACAATGTGGGATTAAGTTAGATCGTCATATAAAAATTCCAAAATCTTCAACAAAGCAATTAAAAAATAGAATATACTACACAAAGAAAGCAGCAAAAAGGTACCAGTGTAGGAGGTTTGACGGTGAGGAGGCAAGAGATTTTCCCCCGTTCAATACTAATAACCTTAAGAACTTCACCAATAAGGTTAGAGAAAAAATCCTTAATATTATGTTCAGGTTAGAGGGTATCATAATTTCATTCTCCACATTAGGCATAATAATAAAATCAATCATAATCGAATGCATCATAGTTCACCTAAATATTTGTACTTCTTTAGAATCTCAATTTGAAACTCTCCAAAGAATAATTAGACTGAGAAACCTGTATTCACATGAAATTGAATAATCATTCAAAAGTACTTACTGTATAAGCAGAAGAAAAGATAAATCAAGAAAATGGCGGAAGATATAAGTATAAAACACTAATAATTACTTAAAAATTTCAATCATGAGATAAACCGTAGAAATCATCAAAATTTTCAAATCCCAAGACACTAAATCATAAAGCCCAAATTCCTAAATTAAAAATCCCTAAATCAAAAAATCCTAAATTGGTAAACACAATTAATCACAGGAATGAATAATACCTAAATTAACATTCAAAAAATTGGGAGAAAACAATAACATAGTAACATTGCAGACACTAAAAGTGGAAACAACAACTTAAATCAAATGACATACCGTAGAGTTCCGACCACGACAAAAGATGACTGGCACTGTGCAGACGGTAGACAAGAGCAATGGATTAACTCAACTACTCAGGAAGCAATGTGCAGACTTCGGAGTGGAGAATCAGAGATAGCAAAGGGTGAGAGAAAGACACGGTCACTTCTGCTAGGGAGGGTGGAAAGGAACTGGGAGAGAGAGAGAGAGAGAGAGAGAGAGAGATCACTACCACAATCGGGGCAAGAACTGGGAAGGAACACCCAAATAGTGAAATGAGAATGATTTGAGTTAAGTTGATTTGTTAAAGAAGGGGAAGAGACTTTTTGCAACGTTCGTGTTTAAGAACGTTGCAAAAACACTTTTAACAACGTTCTTTGATCATTGCAGAAAGTGACCTTTAGCAACGTTCTTATGTACACTGCGAAAAATGACTTTTCGCAACGTTCTAACGCATTTTACAAAAAAGAGCTTTTCGTAACGATCTTTGAATGTTGCGAAAAGTGACATGCATTTAAAACTGTTGTCAAAACTCAATTTTTAACACCAATGACAACATTCACTTATGAGAACGTTGCAATAAATCTCTTTAGCAACATTCAAGCAATGAATATTGTCTTTTCCATGTTGCAAAAGGTCATTTTTGTTGTAGTGTCATATGTTTACTTGCTCTTGATTGATTATTGTGGATATTTGCTTCTACTTGGGTACCCTTGACTTTAGTCCCGGTGAGTAAATGGAGCAGGTATAGTATGTGTTTCAGGTTGGAAACATGAGGTAAGGTTGTAATTCAATTTTATTAGTTACCTTGATTATGCAAGTGTTAACTGTGTGTTTTGATTACTTTCAGACTTATATCTCGGGCTATGATGTTAACATTGTTTAATATATTTCATAGGCATAAACTGATGAATAAAAAAAGTCCAATAACCAAGTTCATAAACTCCACTCGGTCCAATCGTATTCCCTATTGAATGACTTGAATCTTGACCCGTTTACCTTTCTTTTGGTCCAATTAAAAGCTTAACTCTAGACTATTTATAAGACTACAACCCTAGCTATTTTCTAGGGTGGTTTTATGAGAAAAAAGGAGAAATTTGGCTGCCCTTGAAGTGTGTGAAAAGCAGCTCCTTTGAAGTGCCAAAATTGATTGATTACTTTGTATAATTGGTGATTCTTTCATATCCTAACTTTGTGGTGTTTTCTTCTTGCCTTTATGGCCACAAATCATCATTGTTTCTTATCCTTTGTGAGTAAGATTGAATAGTAACCGAGGTTAATTATATTGGTTGTGGATCGGAGCCGGTTGAATTGGTTGTTGGTAGAGAAATGTATGTTGAATTGAGCCCCAAAACACCGATTTGAAAATCCTTGGAGGAAGTTTCCGCAACAATGACTTGTATTTTCCAAACTTCATCTTAATGTTGTGGTTTTTAATAACATTCGGTGCTCTTTGAGATTGCAAATTAACTTGGACTTTTAATACGATCTTACTCTAAATATCTCTCAATTATCGGCTTAATCATCAAGAGAAAACAGACACCACCTCGTTCGTTTTGTGCAAGTTTAGTTAGCAGAGGACAATTAGGAGACAAAAAATGAAAAAAAAAAAAAAAAAATTATATGTAACAGCCCTTTGAAAAGGTGTAGGACAAGTGTAATTTACCCAACAAATAGGATTACGTCAAATGTAAATTTAATAATACCAAATGTACTTAATTTGACTCCAAATGATTTATGAAGATAAAAACAAAAAATAAAAAGTATTTAAACTTGTAAAGACTAACTTACCTCTTTCATATTACAATTGTGGTCAGCAATACAAAAAATAAAAATAAAAATCGTACAATTCAATTGGAACACCCAAGTGACAAACAAATCTAAAGCAAGGATGAGATAAGGACTTTTAATACACCAAATAACATATTTCTTGAAAATGAGACGAAACTATCAAATAATCTTCTATTTCTGGTATCTGATTTCGGTAAAGGAATATTTCCATGTATCATCTTGGGGTTTAGATATACTCGAACAGTCCTTGAAGGCACCACTTGTTGATACAAAGTCTTGGGTGCTTGTCTAGTTGAAACTAGCAATCCATGATTTATTTCTGTCTTTTCATAAACCGTATAATTCTGAGTGCTCGAAAAGTCATCAATGTCTCCATCCAACAAGAAGTTGTCAGTTGCATTTTCATTCACAACTGACATATCATTTGGATCGGTATAATTGTATTCGCTGTCCAAGTTTTGTTTGCTGGTTCCTCCTGCAATGAAATGTTTTTAATTTATGAGTAAAGTTCGCGTGAAAAGAAAAAGAAAGAAAATTTACATGGCATGATTATGAAAAAGATTAATGATTAATTGATTGTAATAAAATTAAAGTGGCAAACCTTGAAAGTCATTGAACTTGGAAATATTTTCCACTGGAACTGTTTTGTATTCCTCATAAAAGGTCTGTACAGGACAAAGAATATCATAACTAAGCAGTGTAAAATTTCACTTCTTCAGAATATGAAAGTTAACGGCAAATTATACTGTCATAATAGACTAATTTTCCGAAAAACAATAAATATACATTCTTATGCCTTTTCTAGGAAGTCAATGACTATTCATTGTCAGTCATAGGCTTCTATCATAGTACTAGTTGTCTCTTTTTTTTTTTTTTTGTTGGTGGGGGGGTGGGGGG